TGTGTGTGTGTGTGTGTGTGTTAGAGGGGAGTGTCTATGTGCGACCAGGACCCAGCCTCAGCATGTGAGATGCTGGTTCAAATCCCCACTCAGCCACCTCCTGGCTTGGTGTCTTTGGGAATTAACTCCACTTCTCCGTGCCTCAGTTTCCTCATCTGTAAAATGGGGTGCTGGGCGCTACTTCCTCGGGCTATTGCTGGATTGAGTTAAAGCAAAGCTTTAGAAGAGTGTGAGGCCCATGATAACCTCCCGTCCCTGTTACTACATCATCCCTAGCCCCACCTCCAGGCCCCAATGGGTGTGTTTGCAGGTCAGCAAAGAGCCCCCTTAGCAGCGCCCCGCCCCTCGCCAGAGGGCTCCTACCACAGGACAGGGCAGCCTGTGCCACCCCCGGGCACCTCCAGCTTCCGTTTGGGCACCTGCAAGTGGAAGCTCTGGCAGGGCCACTCGGAGGCGGTGATTGCTGTGGCTGCTGGGCTACAGTGGGGTGACCCTATCACCACCCTGCAGGAGGGGTCAGAGCCCCCCACATCCACCCCACTGGGTCCAGGGCTGCAGCCTTACCCGAGGGGACACCCCATCGCACTGGCTGTTTCCCTGGTTAGAAACACTTGGGGAGATTTTTAAACCATGCATTTCCCAGAGTAGTCTCTTCAAAAATGGTGTTAGAAAAACTGGATAACCACACGTAGGCAAATGAGATTGGACCTCTATCTTACACCACTTACAAACATTAAATCTAAATAGAGTAGATTTAAACATAAGACCCGAGACCACGAAATTCCTCGAAGAAAATGTAGGGAAGAAGCTCTTTGACACTGGTGTCAATCTCAAAAATAAAACAGTTATTTTACCAGCAAAATGGGTTTATTCAGAGGAATTGGAATGGCTGAGGAATTGCAGTTCAGGACATGTTAGCCATGGCAAACTGTAGGTAAGTCTGGAGAAAAAAGGAGAAGAATGTTATTTTGTAGAGAAAAGGGGTCAGTTGGGAGGGGCTGTTATAAACAGGTAGGGGCCCAGTGCATGAATTTGTGCACCTTGAATGGAACTGTGGGCCACCAGGCTGCAGTGGGCACAGGGGTGGGTCTCAGCCCCTCCTGCATGCCCCCGCCCAGCCCCTCCTGCCACAGCCCCTGGTCCCCTGTCTGCCAGCAACCCCGTTCCTGCCACTGCTGCTCCCACATGCTGATGGCGCTGGCACCGCTCACATGTGCTGACAATGCGGAGTGATTGGGGTTGGTGCCAGTAGCAGGTGCAAGCAGGGCTGGCACCGTCAGTGGGTGTGAGTGGCGGCTGCTGCCCCATCACCTCTCAGGAGCAGGAGGAGGTGGAGAAGCCCTGAGGGATGATTGGGGCTGGCAGCTGCTGCTCACACCCACTGATGATGCCGAGTGATCGGGCCCAGCGCCGGGTGCCAGCAGCAGGTGTGAGCGCCAGGTGGCACCGTGGCACATAGGAGCAAAGAATTTTCAGTAACCACCAGAGGCTCACCCTGATGACAGCAACTGGCGCCCCACCTTGGCCTGTGCCCCCACTCACCTGCTCCACCATCCTGCCGCAGCTAATGCCCACCATGTTCCATGCATGCCCCCTGGTGGTCAGTGCAATCATAGTGACCGATTGTTCAGTTGTTCTGGTTGTTCCGCTGTTCGGTCTATTTGCATATTAGCCTTTTGTTATATAGGACTAGAGGCCCGGTGCACGAAATTCGTGCACTTGGGCGGGGGCGGGGGTTATCCCTCAGCCCAGCCTGTATCCTCTCCAATCTGGGATCCCTCAGTGGATGTCTGACTGTCGGTTTTGCCCCAATCCCTGCGGTATTGGGCCTAAACTGGCAGTTGGACATCCCTCTCACAATCCAGGACTGCTGGCTCCAACCGCTCACCTGCCTGCCTCCCTGATTGCTCCTAACCACTTCTGCCTGCCAGCCTGATTACCCCCTAATCGCTCCCCTGCTGGCCAGATTGACACCTAACTGCTCTCCTGCCTACCCAATCTCCCCCAATTGCCCTCCCCTGCAGGCCTGGTCCCCCACAACTGCCCTCCCCTGCTGGCCATCTTGTGACAACAAGGCGCGGCCATCTTGTGACACAAGGGCATGAGGGTCAATTTGCATATTACCTCTTTATTCTATAGGATGTCCATTGGAAGAAACTGGGAGTTCTAAAGTGTAGTAGCTTTCCATTGGCTGATTCATGGATGTTTCTCATTGGCTAGGTCTGTTGCTAAGCAAGGAGAAAATCTTCCCTCCTCCTACTAGAGTAGCAAGGTAGGCTTCTTTCTGTTGGAGTCTGCAAAGTGTGGTGAGTGGTAGTGCATGAGAGCAGGGCTTCCAACTCTGTTTTTTTAAAATTTTTTTATAAATAGAGCAGAATGCTTTGTTTTATTTTATTTTATTAATTTTTTTTTTCAGAGAGGAAGGGAGAAGGATAGAGAGTTAGAAACATCAATCAGCTGCCTCCTGCACACCCCCAACTGGGGATATGCCCACAACCAAGGTACATGCCCTTGACTGGAATCGAACCTGGGACCCTTTAGTCAGCAGGCTGACGCTCTATCCACTGAGCCAAACCAGTCAGGGCCCACCTCCCTTTTAAATGTTTCCTTTAGCCCTAATCGGTGTGGGTCCTGGCACAGGGTGATGGCACAGTATGTTCCTGCCTCCACACCTGTTACCTAACCCATGCCTGTCTGACACGGCTGACGCTCATGTTTCTCTCTGTGTGTGTCTCACCTCCTCCCTTCCACTCTCTCTCTCTTAAAAAAAAAACAAAAAAACAAAAAAACAACAAAAAAAAAAACAAGACAACCTACAGAGTAGGAGAGAATATTTGTAAACCACGTGTCAGATAAGAGGCTAATATCCAAAATTTATAAGTAACTCAAACAACTCAATAAAATAAAAACTACACAAACAATTCAATTAAAAAATGGGCAGAGGAACTAACTAGACATTTTTCCCAAAGAAGACATCCAAATGGCCAACAGATAATGAAAAGGTGCTCAACATCACTAATCATCAGGGAAATGCAAATCAAACCACAGTGAGATAGACCTCACGCCTGTCAGACTGGCCGTCATCCATTAGACAAGAGGTAACAAGGGCTGGCCTGGGGGCAGAAGAAAGGGGCCTGTTGTGCACTTCCTGGGACTGTAAACTGGCCCAACCATTTCGGAGAAGAGTTTAGACTACTTTTCTCCTGCTTTTCTGTGGTTTAATTGTCCCCCAGGTGACTGCTCACCATGTACCCCCCACACAGAGGCTTGTGTCAGACACTTAGTAGGTGATCAGTAAATGTGGGTGGATGGATGGCGAGTGAAGTGCTGACAGATCCCTATCCTAGAAGCCTTGCTGGGAGGGCAGAGAGCTGGGGGTGTGGAGTGCCTGCGTTTGCAGAGGCTTCAGGCTGAGAGCTGGTGGAACTTTCTCCCGACCACACCCACATGCAGATATAGGTGAGCAACACAGGTGGAATCATGCCAGTGGTGCCTAGAGCGGGAGAGAGGGCAGGACCCGAGGTCCAGGGGCAAGGAGGAGGCGAGGATCAGGGATGCAGTGGGTGCTGGGAGGCCAGGAGGCTGGAGGCATGGTCAGAGAATGGACACCTGTGATGACAAAGTCCAGGGCGTGGCCATGGCGCCGGGTGGGGAGGGGTGAGGAGATACAGGAGGCCACGGGCTGATGTGGGGGCAGCGGACTTTGATGCCCTGGAGGATGCGGTCCTGGAGAATTCATCGGGCAGGTGGCAGGAGTTGCATCCAGGAGGGAAGATGGCTGGGAGGTAGGTGGTGTGTCCTCAGGGGGTGGGCTTAATGGAGCAGAGGCTGGGAGGCCAGGTCCATAGGCTCTGCACGAGAGTGAGGAAGACCCCAAGAATGACCGCTTGCTCCTCGCTGGAGGGCACCCCTCTAAACCCATGTTGGAAAGGGGCCCGGGGGCCTGGGTACAGACTAGCATCTCTGATCCGTAAAGGACCCTTTCCTCTCTGCCCGCTTCGCCGCCTGATGCCACTAGGAAAGAAATGATTCAGCCAAGTGCATTGGATTGGCAGCCACGTCTCTGCCTCCTCCAACAGAGAACCCAGGACAAGCCAGGGAGGGACAGGCCTGGGAAGGGCCCTCACCGTGAAGCATGATCCCTGGGCATCCTCCCAGCTGGGAGCCTGGTCTCCTCTGGGCTTTAGTGTGGGGAGTCCCTTCGCCTCAACTATTGGGGACACCCCACGCTATTCCTCACCTGCAGCATAAGAGCAAGCGGAAAAGCACACTGTCCCGGACGGAGGGGCACAGGCAGGCGGCGGAGGACACGAAGCACTTAGAGGCAGAGCAGACCTGGGGGTGGCTCTTGTCGAGGGAGACGGACAGGGGACACTATTAGTTGTCACCACATCGGAAAGAGGTCAAGCCCACAAAAGTCCCAGAGCGGGGGGGAGGAGAGATGGGCGGCCTGGGAAGAGGCCAGCAACCTCCCGGAGCTGCCCTAGAGGTTGCACCTGAGAGCCATGGCATGGGGGCACGCAGGTCGGGGGTCGGGCACACCACTGGGCGGGGCGGGAGGAAGAAGTCACAGGCCCAGTGGGTGGGCTTCGAGCTGCCAAGTGTGGGTCACCCTGAGTGGCTGTGTGCTGTACAGGGAAGGGTAAAGGTCTCCGGGGCCGTGCCTGCTCAGCGGGGGAAGGGACAGGGCTTGTTGGGTACACTGGTTTTGTAGCTCCCACCAGAAGGAAGGTTTGGTGTCTTCCTCCCAAGAGGAGATGGATCGGTGTTTTAAGAAATAACCAGAAAGCAAAGGTAGGAGGGGAGCGGTGGTTTGCCCCGTGGAAGGCCCACCAGCGCCGATGTGTCCCAAACATCTCCCATTCCCACCCCAGCAGCAAGACGGCACGCGCTCAGCGCTCAGCAGATAGCAGCTGCTTCTTACGCGCTGATTTCCCTAATGCTGCATGGTTTCTCTCTCTGCCCTCACAGGCCCTGCCTCAAAAAGAGGTTACTCTACAGCTGAGTGTTTGACCTTAAGTCCTTGTTACATGTGCATTCCTGTGGTCTGTTGGGCCCACTGCACGCTCGCCCAACACCACTTCCCTGCACTGAGGCGGGTCTCACCACTTTTTAAAACGAAATGTCATGGGGACGATGATCATCACGGGCTGTGGGGAGGTCCCTGGGCTGAGATGTGCCGCGGACCCTGCCCAGTGCCTGGCACCCAGATGTCCAGCTCAGGGGCTCCCAGGAGTAGGGGTGACCTCCCCACCCAGCTCCTAAACAAGGGCCGGCAAGTCTGGCCTGGCTGGGCTAGAATCCCCGGCGGCCCCTCTCGCTCTGGCCCTGGTCTGGTCTCTGCTCCTCTCTGAGCCTGTTGTCGCATCTGTAACAGAGGCATCCAACCCAGAGAGGGGAGAGGACTGGCCCCTATTCCTCCCCAAGAAACAGTGCCCCGCAGACTGGGGTCTTCACTGCCAGCCCCAGTCAGGACCCCGGTGCCAGGAGGTCAGGCCTCTTTGGGGACCTTCCAGGGTGTCTCTGAATTCATGACAAGTTCAGGAGTAGCCCCTGTAGGGGGAGATCCCTGGCTAGGGAGGGGCCCCTCGAGATCCTGCAACACCCCTCCTACTCACCAGTACTTCCCCAGCTGGGTCCCTGATTTGCTGTGTGGCCTTAGTCCAGTGGCTGTCCCTCTCTGAGCCCGATTCCTAGCCAAAGGCTGCCAGGCTCAGCCCTAGCCCATCCCCACCTAGAGCCAGCTCTGCCTCTGCCTCTGCCTCTGCCTCTGCCTGGCTCGGCTCCAGACAGCAGGGCTGGGCTGTCACATGCTGAGCCACGTGACAGGCAGCGGCTGGGGGCTCCATCACTCACAGAGGACGGGGGCCGCTGCAGGCCCTGACCCCTGTCCCAAGTGGCTAACGACTCCGGAGGCCGCCAGAGCAGGTGTGGGCCAGACCTCTCCTGCCCTCCAAGGTAGGCAGAGAGGGTGGGGGTGATGAGGAGCTTTTCCCAGGGGTGGGGTGGCCCGCGGGCCCCAGGCCAGGATCAGAGGCAGATCCAGGGCACCAAGGCAAAAGGGCAGCGGGGACAGTGGCAGCAGGTCCTGGGTAGCTGGCACAGGGCGATGGCACAGGATCTTCCTGCCTCCACACCTGTTACCTAAGCCCTGCCTGTCTGACACCCGCAGCTGCCAGGGAATCACCCGCTTTGTGTTGGCTCCCACAGGTGTGAGGGGGTGGAGGCCAGGGCAGGGCAGAGGACAGGTGCCCGGCAGCACTGAGGCACCTGAGGAGCAGGAACACAGGAACCACCAAGGTGACACTTGTCATCACACAGCTGCCCTGGGGGCAGAGGGCGCTGCTCTTCCCTGGGGGTGGGAGGTGACACCTAGGAATGGATGCTTCCCGAGTGGGTCCCAGCCCTGCGACTGGTGCCCTGTGTGGTCAAGTCCTGTCTCCGCTCTGGGACCCCGTTTCCTCCGTGTAAAATGCCCGGCTGCAGGGCCAGGCTCCGTGAGGGGCGCTAGACGAGGTGTTGACGGTGTTGACACAGACACACAGAGGGTGTGGCCTGAGATTGCGTTTCTGGACTCCAGCCATCTCTCGATCTGCCTCTTCATTTTGCAGACGGGAACTGAGACTCGGGTGAGCTGGGGTGGGGGGGTGGGGGGCAGGGTTTTCCTTCCTCTTCCGAGTCACTGGGCCCCACCCCATAGCATAATTCTCAGAGCCCCCGCCTGGTCCCTCCTTCCTGCACCAGCTGGGCCTGGGTCCTGCCACCGGGCCTTGGGTGGCCCCTCAGCTCAGAGCTCCCTGGGGCTGAGAGACCACAGGAGACTGGCAACCCCCTCATTACCTCAGGGGTTCGTTAAGGAGACTTCTCGGTGAAGTGCGCCTTGGGCCGTGGCAAGGGGATGTGGATTCGTGGACGGCGCCAAGGAGTTACATAAGACGGGCCAGGATGGATGGGGACACCGGGTGGGGCCGCCCCAGACACGTGAGGGGGAAGCGGTGCACGCCCACCCCGCCCGGGGAAGGGCAGGGGCCTGTCTGGGACCATCGCCTGGCAGGTTGATAAGAGCCTCTGTGGGGATTTAGGGGAGGAAGTCTCCGTTCTGGCCCGGATCTAGCTCGGGGTCCAGCAGGGGTCACACTCCGGGCACAGGGAGGGAGGTGGCCACAATCTCAGCCCAGGCTCCCGGCTGGGCCGGCCCCGCCCCAGGGCAGGCCCAGCCCTGGACATTTCACAAGGCAGGCTGGCCACACAGCAGGACGCCAGGAGGAAGGACAGCTTGGCAGAGCCTCAGGTACCGTGTCCTGGGGAGGCTGGGAGAGAGCAGCGAGCAGTCGGGGCCGGGGATCCGGCTGGTGGGCTGGCTCAGGACTCCCGGTGCTGGCAGCCCAGGCAGGCAGGACACTTCCGGCCACAAGCACAGACCGGCTTTGTCCTCAGAACGCCGCCTCGGCCAGCCTGGGGAGAAAGGGGAAGGAGGGAGGGACGTCCCTTTGCTGAGATCTAAAGGGGAGTGGGAGGGGCTGAGGAGAGATCCGAGGGGTGGCGGGGAGCCTGAGGCCAGGCCGACAGCAGGCACCCTCGTTTTGTCCGAGTTGGGCCACCACCCTTCTTCTCTCTGGGGTTACACATCCTGTAAGGGAGCCCAGGGACCCAGCTCCGGACCTGGCGTTCCCAGGAGGGAGAGCACCCCATCCTGGGGGGGCGGGGGGGTTGTCAAGCATGCATTTGGAGCCCAGTGCAGCCTCTCCGTGGGCAGGGCTGGGGTTGGTCCCAGCACCCGAAGGCCCTCAAGGAAGGGAGGGGCAGCTGCCCAGAGCTTCAGGGCCTATGGAAATCCAGGGTAAGATCAGACTAGAGTCAGGAGCTTCGAGGCTGGTCGGTGACCGCCACCTCTGGTAGCTGAGAGGGCCCCAGCCACCATGGTTACCTCGGTCATCTTCCC